TCATCTCATTCTGAACCAGTTGAAGGAAACAAATATGATCTCTGACATTAACAATGCAGTCCTATGCAGAGTTAATCTAGTCTAAATCATTAATTTCTCGGCACAGTTAAGTGTACAAGTGGGGAGATTTCATGCACTGCACAGATTGTTCATGGACTGAAAAATATCTCAGCATGAGGGGACAGACTTTCACATACATCCAAACACAGTATGCATATGTCCCATGTGTCCTTCAGTTTACCTGTATAGCCTTGAAGAAATTGTATGCTTTACCCAAAAGGAATGTTACCAAACAAATACTTATCACGTGTGCTAGATGCTGCCCAAGTATTAAACAATTCAGATACTCTTCTGTTGTAGAAGAACTAACTTATCCAGAGCTAACAATAACCATCTTAAAAATCAGTTACGGTAGACTGAAAATAACTATATACAACCCTAAAAAGATATTCATTTCAAACAGCAATGTTTGTGATTTCACCTACAGGGATCATAAGTAAAAAAAAAACCCAAGAAAAAACAAGATGGGTTATTTTAAAGAAAACTACATCTCCCCAAATTTCATATCATAGCTGGGGAAACAAAGCAGATTTCCTTCTTCACTCAGTCAGAATATATACCCACCCGAGCTCACAGTGCGTTAAATTAAACACCAGTATTTCACATGCACTTGCTAATTCACTCCATTTGTATGCTAGTCAGACATAGAGCTCAGAAGGTTTTCCCCTGAGAAATGGCATCATATTATTTGTTAATTACTCTTTCACATTAATATGATGCGAGACTCCAATTGAAAAAAGACAATTTAAGTACAGAATCATTAACACAGGCCAGCAGTTCAGAAAAGATTCTGAACAAATCATAGTAATTTAAAATATTATTACACTATTTAGCTTGGCCACGACTGGAATGGAACTGGCAGGGAGTGACAGTTAAATAGGACTGATATTGGGATAGTTTATTCAGTTTTTAATGTGAACATCAGGATAAAATGACAGAACAAAATAAAACAATAAACCTATGACATTACCTGTGCAGACATAGTCTTTTTTCTGAACATCAGCAACATTAAATCCCCTCAGGTGAACAGGTGCCATGCAGAATGTGAACTGTCCAACTGATCGCCTCTGACGCAGCCAATCAGAAAGCCAAGCCAGATGGCAGTCACAGTATAAGTAATTGGAATGAAGTCGTCTGCAATGTACAGAAAGAAACCCATATCAGAGATGCAATCGTTGCAAATAGGAAAATAATGAAACAACCTAATTTATCATTAATCAAATGCACCATCCTACTATCTATAGTAATTTTGATGGAATCATTGCATTACAGTGATTGTCAGACAGTAGTTCATTTTGTGTACTGAACTACAATTAGACTTCATAGTAAACACAGATGTAAATAAAGATGCAGTCATTTGGCAAGAGATTTAATATTTTAAATAACAACCCTGGGATTCACAAGGAATTATGGTGAAGGGGAACCTCTTCCAAATCCTCCCTTATATAAGCTTTCAGGGATTGATTATTGAATACATTTTTACTCCACCTTTCCTCCATGGTACTCTCCTGTTCCTCCATTTTATCCTCAAAACAACCTTTTGATAACTCAGAGATTAGATTAACAGAAAAGACTGGCCAAATATCACTCAACAAGGTTTATGGTGAGGGGACATTTTAATCTCAGACTCCGATGACCTAGTCTATCGCCATAACTATTACACTAGTCTGGCTTGAGCACACTAATTTCTCCTTCTTCCTTTCTTTCCTTTAACTCAGGGGTGTCACACATATGGCCCATCCACGGTTTTTACCCATCCTACAAGCAACTGGTTATGTATGGAAATGTAACATACTCTCCCTTTTATGTTATCCATTGGGGAACATCTAGTCTTGCATATGATTAAATGCATTTATTGTGAGTTTTGGGGGTTCTCCAGTAAATCAATTACTGTCACTGCAAGGAATCAATTGCTGTTTGTAATTTGAGTTAAAAAATAATAGCTAGGTTTGCCTGTGTTCTTTATAAAGTTTATATCTCTGGGACCTGGCAATACATTTTATGGCACGCATGGCCCGGCCCAAAAAAGTAACATTTATGTCAAATCTGGTCCTTGTAACAAATGAGTTTGACACCTCTGCTTCAACTTATTGTCCACTGCTCTCAGTGTTTTGTATTCCTGGACCATGTTCAGTCCTTATCACACCATTTTAAGTTTATGGGTTTTTGGGGGGGCGTGGGTGTTATTTTGCAAAATCATTATTTTTACAAAGTCACCTTATTTTAATTTTTATCCTGCTCTTCTCCCTGATCAGGGCTCAAAGAGAATCCAAGTATGCAGAAGTTCCTAGCTTATCTGTGGTTGGTTTGCTATTTCATCCTTGCTCCCAACTTGAGCTTTTTTGTGTAATATTCTCTATAACATTTTATATCTGAAAAATGAAATCGCCAGAAAGAACAAATTAACTATCAAATATTTCATCCTTTCTCTATGAGTCATAACAGGCTGACATTACAGCAAAGCTCAAATGACAACACTGTCATTTCTGTAGGATAGGGTTGGGCAAAGCATTCATTTCTAACAGCCTAACATTACATATTACATTGTCAAATATAAAGTGCTGTAAAACATGGTCTAGTCCAACTCTGAAATAAATTAACAGTATAAGAGATCCTTATGTGAGGTTGTCACAATTGAGCTCAGTAGTGGCGCCTCCCTAGATTTGTATGTCTGGTAAGGCATTTTGATGGGAAATTTCCAGAATTCATTTAGTTGCTTTGTCGAGTAACGCTTAAATCTCCTGACCTGCAGGGCAAACAATAAAAGGCAGTCACATCTATTTATCAAAGACTGTATGATGTTTTGTTTTAGTTGTGCAAGAGAAGAGAGTAGTCCATTTGGGTAATGTCATTTGTGTGGAACAGTAATATTAGAAGTATTTAATTAGCCAAGAACAAATTAAATACTTTCAGTTACTTAATTGTCTAGCTAATAAACACATTTGCATCTATAAAAATAATAAAATAGGCACTGTCTGGAAGATATTGAAAGAACAGCATAGCTTTATCTTTGAAGTAACTTACTGCAAAATTTCATCAAACGTAACACACTGGAATAGGGTCAAAATGAATTAACAGATTAGTTGTTTCAGATTCCATCCACATTGTGGAAGATACAGGTTTAATGACCATTGCCCCCACTTTGTCCTTACTCCAAAAAATGTTAGTCATACTTAAATTTCACTGAATTTACTTTTATACATTATCTTTCATGAACATAGGTCCCGGTCACACGGGCAGGAAAATGCGGGGGGGAAATGTGGCTGTTAGCCCCGGGGCTAAAAACCGCGCGGTTGCTCGAGCAGACCTACCTATGGAGGTCCCGTGGTAGGGGGGAGGTGCCGATCACTCCACAGTCCTGCGGTGCGGCAAAGAAGCAGGGCACGGGGCAAACGGGGTTGGGTTTTTTTTAAAAAAACTCAAATGTGCGCATGCTCCCTTGGGTGCTTGTGCGCATCCATGGAGACTTTGAAAAAAAAAACCCTTTTTGCGAGGGGACATGGGCGGGCGCCGGAACTACCACCGGAAACACGGTCAGACGCCCGCCCTTGCCCCGCGGTTTCAGGAAACGAGTACCTTGGAGGTACTAGTTTTTTACCGCGCATCTTCCACAGGAAGCCTCGGATTCACCACGGAAGCTCGACGCTTCCCAGATGTGGTGGTGAGATCGCGCCCGGAAAATCCGCCTATCTTCCGTCCCTCTAGCATGCCTAATGCTCCGTGTGACCTATTTTATTCTTTTATAAATAATTTATTTGTTTAAACTTATCCCAGATATCAGAACAGTCCTTCCTCACGACCACATAGTCCTCTGAAGCATACAGACACTAGGTCATTCTAACAAAATAGATAGATTTGGAATTTTAATTCCTGGTGGAAGCAGAAAATCTACTAAATTCATGTACACAGAGTGTGTTTAAAGGACAAAGTCTCCCCAATAAGCAGGATACCACAGTGTAACTTTCCTTATGATTGCACTGTAAATTTACTCATATTGCATATGTAGACAAAACAAACCAGAGCTCCAATTTTCTCCAAATTATTATGTTGTGTTAACATCTACACAAAAATGTGAGACGTTTTCCTAACAAACTATCATTCTCTATTGTTGTAATTTTACTATGGAAACAATCATATTCCTTAAGGAATTATATAGTGCAAGATTTAAGTGTTTCCTTTAAGTGTTTCTGTGCAAGATTTAAGTGTTTCCTTTCGGAAAGGAAATTTAAATCCAACGCAAAAGGGGCTTCCATGTTTGCTTCAAAATTTCAGCACTGCTTCTCTTTTTCCTCAGCGCACAAGCTAAGCCCAAGCATTTGACCTGTAAATATATTATTTGTGCTGAAATTCTGCAGCACATGCTGTGCATTTAGTAATCTTCCCTTGAGACAAGCCCACTGAAAACAAGCTGTTAAGTTTTAACCATGTAGAAGGTATCTGTGAAAAATGAATGAGGACAGTAAGGAAGCTTGACTGCAAGAAGATGTGTGAATTGTTGCAGGTCCTTTCTTTGTGGCCATGCATTCATTCAAGAGTGCATTAGGATCAACAATAAGAAAATGGAAAAAAGTAGTGCCAAGCAGTATTTTGCATGAATATAGCTCTCTCATCAAAAGAGAAGCAGATCGATGCAAACAAATTCTTTTCAATTCTAATCAAGACCAAAAAAAAAAATCTGTAAAGGAGAACCACAACCGAAAATGGGAACATGGGGAAAAAAAATATGCTCATAGATTATTAATACTAAAAACCTCACATCATTTATCTTCCTTAAAGACGAAGTATACATTAAACAATGTCTCACACTCTGATCTACATAATGTTATAGCTTTAAATATATATATACTAAGTTTACAACAGTCTCCCAGAGGAATGAAAGGCAGGCTGCGTATGAGAATTAATTTCACTCTATAATGATACGAGGTTAAAAGACTTTGGAAGCACATATGATCCAGTCATTTGACTGGGTTATGGATTGGATTAAAGAATGGATTAACAGAGTGGTTCCTCAGGCCTTATCATCCATAGGAGGACACATGAGCAAGGTATAATTATGTGATATGAACACCCTGAAATGCAGGGTTTGGAAACAGCACTAAACTGCCTGGGATTGCTTCTATCATGACAAGAAGTTTGGAAAGAAACAAGAGAAATTCATTGCTATATTGCATTAATTCAATATGAACCAAATTATATGCATATATTCTTCCCCTGTGTTCTTCACCTTTGTTCATCATGTCAGTGAGATGGGACAAGTAGGATTTGTAATTGAAATTAGAAATTCAAAGATACAGAAAGATTCCTTTGATCAATAAAATATTTCAGAAATAACAGTTCTTTATTATTATCAGCCAATTTCAACTAGCAGAACAAAACGGTAACTCTTTCTGGATAATGTTTCTTAATCATATGGGCTGTGTGATAGTTCTATTTCATGGTAATACTCAGGCATTTTTAAAAGTTCAGCTACACTGACAATCTTTTGCGCATATACAAACTGGTACACTGGAGTGTGATCCTGGTTGCAAGAGGACCATTATCCACTTTTATTTGGGGTGGGGGGATGAACTAGGAAGATTAAATATTAACTAACATCTACAAGATTTTTTCTAATATCTTTAGGCAATGCAAAATTATTTTTATAATACTTATGTACATAATGGATGTCAACATTACAGTACTGATTAATCATAATAATTTAAGTTGATTAAATATGCATACATTTTCACACACATAAAATCACAATTTCTGATAAAAATAGTATTTAAAATGTGTTGAACATGACTACTTAATCTCTTGGCTCTCTTTGCAGTGTATATCAGGTAGCTTTAATGTCTGCAGAAAAGGATTAATATTGTTCATTGTCTTTTTCCCTATGCAACTTCTATTCAGAGGTATATTGCCCCTGGATGTGGAGACTACGAAAGAGCAAAGAACTGGTCTGATAGTTTGATTGACAATGAAACCCTAATTTATGGGAAGAGCTGGAAATACAATTGTTTGTGCTAATTTTAAATTTATTTATCTCATGGCCCTGAAGTCTGTAACAAACCTGATGAAACAAAAATAGAAAGATCTAATATTTTTATATTATGGCTCAGCCCTTCTCAGACCTTGGGGGCAGGACTGCTTACAAGGCAACTGGAAACTACTATAGCAGTACACATAGGCAGAAACATGCTATTTAAAATAGATGGAAGTCTATTTATAGCACACAGAAGGGGACTGAATACAAATTCTACTTTTTAAAGGTGCACATTTGGCTACAGCCTAAATTAAATTTTTAGAAAATCCTTTGGGGTCAGCATTTAAGTTTTATAAAATGTAACTCTCAAAATTCAATATAAAAGCTTTCCTTTAAATCCCATTTATGACTTCCTTCCCCCTTTTCTCCTTTAATTACAGCAAAACGGAATTAGTCAATATAGGTCTCCAGGGAGCTACATACAAAGCCATCTTTGAAATTAAACTAAAGAGAAAATGGCAGCAGATATTGTAGTCTGGTTATCACAGAGAATGATCGATCTGAAATAGGCAACAGACAACTCCAGGGTATTAGAAGTAAAATACTAAGCAATTCCTACCAAAATATAAATTTCCTTCAATTAATTAAGTAATATGATCACTGTTCTTTAAAGGAGGGAAACTTATACAGCTATAAAGGTAATCCAGGTAGTTATCTGGCCTGTCAGGATGAGTAAATAAAAGGCAGATTGCCTGTATATTATACTTACGCAGATCAGACCTGCAAACTATGGGGAAATAGTCTGCTAGCAATTAATTGTAGTCTGCCAGGAACTTGTCAACAGGGCTGTTCTTCCGACAGTCCAAGGCAGGCAGCAAAACCAGGACATTTGTCTGTATAGTTAGGCCCTTTTTAGATCTCTCAGGGGGCTGAAGGCTGAATATTCATTTGAGGGCTTCAATTTCTTTTTACAGAATCCTGGTTATGTTTGCATTGCATTCCCATGAAACCTTCTTAGCCTTTATTTTGGCAATTTCACTTTCAAAACATTATGTAGATAGAATTCTACTATTGATAGGCGGAAAGGAAGGGTTGCTAGGCCTCCTACAGTGGCAGCAGCAGCAGGAGGAGGAGATTGGATTTATACCCTGCCCTTCACTATGCAAAGGAGTCTCAGAGTGGCTTACAAACTCCTTTCCCTTCCCCTCCCCATAACAGACACCCAGTGAGGTAGGTGGGGCTGAGAGAGCTCTGACAGAAACTGCTCTTTTTCAAGAACAGCTCTTATCAGAGCTATGGCTTGCCCAAGGTCATCCAGCAGGTGCAAGTGGAGGAGAGGGGAATCAAACCCGGTTCTCTCAGATTAGAGTCCATGCACTTAACCACTACACCAAACTGCCACTGGGCCAAAGGGATGTCTTCATTTCAGATGATAACCCAGATGTAATGTCAGTCCTTCCTATGAATCATTGGAAAAGCTATGGTTTTACCATAGAGTTTCTGGTGATTCTGCAAGTGATGTCACACCATCAATGCCATGCCTGGCAACCCTAGACAGTGTTCACAAAACATGGCAGTTAACTCTGCCACACTACCAGGCCTCTTCAAGAAGGTAAACTTTATTCCAGCTCCCACCTCAGTTACTGTTCTAAGAACCAGGCCCAGACTGAAAACCCAGGGATGAGCAACCCTCAGTTACTTGCGGTTGGTAACAGTGGCAGTTTTGTCAACTGAGTAGTTTTCTCAGATACAGTAAGTTTCATATGTGGTTGGTGAGGGAAATTCACTTCGGGGGGATTTCTGAAATGGGCTGAAAGCTGGAGGAGAGAAGCTTGTTCTTGGAGACAGAAGCAACTGACACTGAACAAGAACCCAACCAATGCCAGTTGTGGAATGATTACCCTTTCTGCCTGGCCACTTAAGTCCTTCCAGCAAAGACAGAAAGAGATGAGAGAAGACCAATTATTCCTTTTGTTGCTAAGATGCGAGAGTCACTGATTCTACTTTCAGCACATAGAGTTTAATTAGTGGTGCACATGTCATCAAATATGATTTATATTGTGCATAAAGTGCAGAAGAGCCTGTGCGGTGTAGTAGTTAGAGTGTTGGATTAAGATCTGGGTGACATCAAGTTCAAATATCTACTCTGCCATGGAAGCTTGCTGGGTGATCTTGGGCCAGTCACACATTTTCAGCATAACCTACCTGACAGGGTTGTTGTGAGGAGAAAAGGGAGGAGAAAAGAATTATGTAAGCCATTGGGGAGAAAGGCAGAGTATAAATGAAGCAAAAATAAAATTAGACGTGTATCCATAATGACACACATACATTTCCTTAATGGGGCAAACAGTAGTTTCCCTGGGTTGGTTGAGGACAG